GTGTGTGTGTGTGTGTGTGTGTGTGTGTGTGTGTGTGTGTGTGTGTGTGTCGTGTGTGTGTGTTGTATGTATGTGTGTGTGTGTGTGTGTGTGTGTGTGTGCGTGTGTGTTTATATGTATATCCCATATTTGTGTGTGTGTCTGTGTGTGCCTATATGTTGGTATACTTGTACTTCGGTATTTCTATTCCGAGCACGATAGTGTAAGCGCATGTATTTTCCTGGTGTTTGCACATGGGCCGTGTACCTAGTTGCGCGTTTACCAGCAAGTTTGATCTAAATATATGACCAAGGACATGTTACTTGCAGACACGGATTGCGTGCCAAACCTTACCAGTCATCTCCAGCAGCCTGTCAGCCAGCGTACTTTTCCCATGGTCCACGTGCGCAATAATGCTGAAGTTGCGGATGCGCTCGACTGGGAACGTGCCTATATCTACCTTACCTCTCTTGGTGGGAAGTTTGTGTATGAGTGAGACAGGCACGGGTGTCTCTGCTGTGCCTGTGGGTGTATTACCACTGTCAGTGGCTAGTGTGCGACGTGGCGCTCCAAGTGGTCTGTGTGTGTGGCTGTGTGCGTGGCTGTGTGTATATGTGAGAGCCCAGGCAGTACCGGGTGCTCTGGAAGTACCACACACAGCCCTCTCGGATACCCTGACATGTGCACTACCATATATACTGTCAACTGATACACCAGTGTGTAATGAACGGGTTGACAGACCGTTGTGCATAACCCTCTGCCAGGGCTGCAGACTTGTATGAGCTTTCGAGCGACAGCGGCTGATCGCCACTCGGAGGTGTGTGACCGACGTCAACATGTTTTGGGCAGAGTGATATGTACGCGCCTGTATAGTCTGTATAGATGTACTTAGTGTTATATTACGGGTGTTCACCGAAAGGAACCCCTCCCCTCGTATACAGGCGATAGACGACTTTGCTTGCTTTATCGGACTGGTGTGTTGCATGCGGCGGTGTGTAGTACTCTTGGTTAGGGCTTGTGCGAGCGAGAATTTGACACCGTTGAGTGTTCGCTCTTGAAATTGCCAAACGGGCGCATGTGATAACTTAGCCATGACGAGAGGTTCTTCAAAACTATGCGTTTGTTTACCTAGAGTACATGGTTTGATACAGACTATGTTGGAAGCTCTGAGCCTATAGTAACTATTGAGGCAAATGTTCCGTCAATACTTAAAAAGAACTGTATGCCATTAATCCTCGAGATAAGAAGAGTAGAGTATGTATATTCTACAGCGCACTACTAGCTAACACAACGACGCTAATATGCATCACAAATAGAGACAGTCGTTGTTAATTAAGAAGGCCAAGCATATACTTTATTTACTTATATAGAGGACAAGGGCAATTATAAAATGTGGTATAAATTGCCGGCTTATTATCGCCACGCGATCAATGCCCACCACTTCTCCCCCCCCCAAAAAAAAATGTGAACCAAAAAAATTACGTTAAGCTTCTGTGTAGACCGCTGTGAGTGTGCTGATATCGATAGCATCACAGTTAATATATTACAACATCACAGTTAATATTTTGGGCATTGAATTCAAGTAAATACCAGGAACTGTTACCAAACCTACAGATACAACAATGTCATCTCCCAAGAAAAAACACCAAAACAAGTACGAGAAACCAGAGGGACCTCCTCCGAACACTGTCAGCGACTATCACAAATACCGGATTGAATCGATGATAAAGAATGTATGCTATTACCTGATTATTATATGAGGTCTATAATCATGGCGTGCACCTCGCGGTCGTTTGAAACTTCGTTGCATGGCAAGATTACACGCATTCCAAAGGATTACATGAGCATATGCAAACAGTATATATAAATAT